ACTCATAATTGAAGATTTAAATTATAGACGTCGATTTACGACACGCCTCTTGTGATAGATGCGCCAAATCTTCGTACTGATGTCCGCATCAGGCCTCTTATAAGAAAGGTTCACTACTAAAAATATAAACTCTTTGAACTGACACTCATTTAATTCACCATAATATTTAGTTTTATACGTTCACATTAAGACCTAAAAGGCCTATTACAAAAATCATTTATTCAACTCTCAGTTCTAATATATGTATGACAAACATGAATGTTAGAAGCCAAACCTGATTCTGTATTGGCAAGTAAACAGAGTGAATGATATTCAAATAATGAAAAGAAATTACTTACAAACCCTGATAATGATCGTATTAAAAGCGAATATCAATCAAAGGGGTATCTAAATTTTAAATACTCCCAAATCTCAAAATCAATCACTTAGATACTCAAATTATAATATAGTTATAAATATGATATTCATTAAAGTTTGAATATTAAAATATGAAATTAATCACATAAATACTCAAAACAAAAATCTATCAATCCCATGCAATAGTTTATTGAGGTAGATAAATTTGAATATAAATTTAGCTCATAAATAGGTAATATCCAGTCAAGAATATCGCTAAGATTTATTTTCAAACCATCTATTATCAGTAAGGACGTGGCACATGTCATCTAATCAATGATTTTGCTGTCAAATGGTACCACAAATAAATAATTATGATCGGGGCTCTCTAATCGAGTGATTTTACCGTCAAGTGATACCACTAAATTATAGTCACTATCAGAGCTCATATGTTCTTCAATGGCTCTAAACCCTTAAATACTTAATTAATAAGGTATAATTGATAGGGCATAAAATATTTTGTTATCTAAGGTGAACTCAAATCAATCCTATTAGGCAAATATTCGACCTAAGCTTATAAGGTATCATTAGACAACATAACCCATGGTTGCAGGCAAGAATCCTTTGATTAGGTTGGGTCAACTACTTCCTCTAACTAAATAAAATAAGGGTCATGATAACCAGGACAACATAAGCATGGAATTTTAATCAAGCCCTTCATCAGTCCCCCATCATTAGCTTTAAGTTTACGGTGATAAATTATAAATTTTAAAAACCCTCAAATCCAAATTTAAATCCATGAAGCTATTGCTACTATATGTTGAGTACTTAGTGCCTATCTAACGATTAGCCGTAATCAAAAGTTCTCTCTCGTTATTAGAAGGATAATTAAACATAGGGGATTGTACCTATGAGAAAGCATACTACAAATCATAAAGTCTTCATGAAACGAGGGTGAAATATTTGAGTAGTGTCATATCTTAAATTCAATATATATTTTAAAAATTTACCCTAAAACTTAAGCTCGATAAACTCTCCCATTGACAAAAAATGTGCGGAGAGGCTGGGGCACCATTTTTGGGAGCTCACAAAGGCGAATGGTGAATCTTCAAATACTAATCTAAATGTTGAAACCAGAGGATAGGGTTCAGACCAAAATCCAAGTTGAGGAATATCTAAATTCAAGAGAGAAAAATACAAATTAGGAAAAGGGAAGGTTGAATGTTGGAAATGTAGAAAGAAATGTCACATTAAGAGGGACTGCACTGTTAAAAAAAATTAGTGGCGGGGGTCAAGATAAAAGTCACTTTACAAATATATTTGCAAAAGAATTTTAGAGTGATTCTCTGATTTTATCTCTGGATAATCATAAAACTTATAAATTTAGGCACTTTATTTCATGCAAAAGTCCAAATAAGGAGATGTTCAAGAACTACACTCAAGGTGTTCTAAAAAAAATGTATCTGAGAGACAATAAGCCTTACGGCATAATAACATAGGGAGATGTTGATATTAGATTGTCATATGGGTTCACTTAATAACTAAAGAATGTTAGACATGTTCACTATCTAAAGGAAAATTTAATTTCTATGAGTCAACTTGCACACTTAGGATATGTGACATCATTTACATGAGATTCGTAGAAGGTGATAAATAGGGCTATGATTATAGCTCATGGAAGAATTGCAAGCACATTGCATATTATCAACAAAAGATTAGATTCTATTAGAGTAGCTGATTAGGAAGTCGATAGAGGTCTTTGGCCTCATAGACTTGGTAATACTGAGTAAGAAAGATTTGCCTTCACTTCTTATTAGAGGAATGCTTCCTAGTTTAAAATTTATAGACTTAAATTTTTGTGAAGATCGTATATGTGGCAAGCAACAGAATAAGAGCTTTTTAAATATCGATTCAAAGGTGAAGTCAAAGAAGCTAGAGTTATCGCACATAGATATATGGGGTCTGATTCCAATTCTTTTTGTAGACAAATCTTCATATTTTGTACCTTTATTGATGATTACACTAGAAAGGTGTGAGTTATTTTTTGAAACAAGCCTGTTGTAGTTGAAATGTTTAAGAAATGAAAAGCTATGCTTGACAATAAGATATATTCAAATCTAAAGTATACAAGATCAAATAATAATGGTGAATATCTAATAAAATGTTCATGGAGTTTTGTGTTTTAAATGAGATCAAACTCAATAGAACTATCACTGAGCACCACAATAAAAAGTGTTATCGAAGATATGAATAAAACTATCACTGAGCGTGCTAGGAGCATGAGGTTGGATACTTGTTTACCGAAGCAATTTTGGGTAAAATTAGTGAATACTACTATTTATCTGATTAAGCATGATTCAACAATTCTCCGGAATGAGGGATTACCTAAAGAATCCTAGAATGACAAAGAGTTAAGTTTATTTCACTTGAGAGTCTTTGAATATTCCTCTTACATTCATGTTGATGCAAAATATAAGAGTAAGCTTGAGAAAGATTTTCAACATCAGAATGGAGTGGACTACACTGAGAGTTTCACTCCAACGGTGAAGATGACAACAATCAAAATTGTATTGAAAATAGATACAATGGAGGATTTACATCTAAAATAGATGAATGTGAAGACAATATTTCTTCATGGTGATCTAGAAGAAGAGTTGTATATACTACAACCTCGAGTATATATGATCATAGGTAAAGACGATTTGGTGTGTAGTAAGACAATGGCACATGAGATTTGATAGATTTATGTCAAACAAAATGTGCATGAAGTACCAAGTATATCAAGGTCTTTTTTCAAATATTTTGATAATTGTAATATATTACTACTCTTAAATGTGAATGATATGCTGATTGCAAAATCGGATATGGAGAGAATAAGAGAACTAAAGATGCAATTATCAAAAGAGTTTGAAATGAAAGATTTGAGTCCAACAAAAAAAAATTCTTGATATTAGAAAGAAAGGATAAAATGCAGGTATATTGAATTCATATTAAGCTGAGTATGTTGAAAAGATGCCACGGAGATTCGACATACATGAGGCAAAGCCAGTTTGCACTTCCTTAGGTAGTTACTTTCAACTGTCTAAGGAACAATTGCCTAGATCTAAAGTAGAGCAAGAATAGATGATAAGGACTCGGTATGCTTCAGTAGTTAAGTATGATGTTATTATGATATGTACGAGACCAGATATATCATATGTATGTAGTGAAGTAATCAACAAATTTATGAGCAATTTAGACAAGCTTCATTGAGAGGCGGTTAACTGGATTCTCAGGTATTTTAGAGGATCCATTGACAAAGCTCTTTGCTTTGGATATATAGGGATTGAACTATAGGGATATGTAGATTCTAATCTTGCAGGAGATATTGATGGTAGGAGTACAATAGATTATATCTTCACTTTAGAAGAAACGGTAGTGAGTTAAGTTTTCAATTTATAGAAGATCGTTTCTCTCTTAACCATAGAAGTTGAATACATTGTTATCACTAAGACAATCAAAGAAATGATATGTTTGCAAAATTTTATAGTAGAATTTGGCAAAGGCAAAAAGAATAGGAAGTTGCATAGTGACAACATAAGTACTATTCATTTATAGCTTAAAATGCATCATTTCATGCCAAGATGAAGTATATTCAGTTTCGGTATCATTTCAGTAGGTCGCTCTGAAAATGGTCAGTTATCTTTAGAGAAGATAAATAAAATCTAGATTTGTGTATACATGCTGATGAAAATGATGACAAGTGAGAAATTGAAGCAATGTGTAGCTTCATTTGGCCTTCATGAAGACTGAGGGTAGGGGTGAGCTATATTACAAGTACTATGCATAATACCACATATAAAAAGAATATTTGATCGCAATTAGTTTTCAAGTAGTAGATTACTAGTTTTGTGTGGAATTTGATTTTTTTCGATCAATCGGGTTATACTGTTGACTCAGACCTCAATTCTATTAATCAAAGCTCAAGGAGCTCAGTGGGGACTCGCAAGGTGGTGGTGTGTCCCATACTAGAGGGTTTAAGGGTGAAGCTCTTGTTAAAAAAATTTCTTATTCGTACAGGGCCACGACGTCGTAAATCCAACTCCAAGGCACTGTGGAACCAATTTGAGATAGAGCACAATGTTGCAACACTATAGTTCACAATGCCATAGCGCTGCAAGACAGACGAGTAAGCGCTGAGGCGTTGAAAGTACATCGTTGCAGCTTTGTGAGTCGGGCTAAGAAGTTTTTCATTCTTATTATTCTTATTTCACTTAAAAGGTTGTGCCCTTTGGTGTAATAGAAGTGTGTCACTTTATTTGTTCTAAGTATAGAATAGTGTGAGAAGTGAAAAGAGACCTAGAGAGAGAGAGAAGAGAGATATGCATAATTTCTCCAATTTTCATAGTGAATTTCTTGGTGAGATGTGGCACCATGATTTTTCCCCAATTTCAGATTTTTCCACATTAAATTCAAGTGTTTTTTTTTTTTCCACTGCTTTCCTTTTCTTAGTTGTTTTTCATTGCATGGTTTTATGCCCAACATTATCCTCTCCCTCCTTTGACATAATTGAAACGTCAACAAAGAATACTAGCATATTCATGAAGTAGAAAATAAAAACAAAAAGATATTTTAATAATAAAAGAAAGTAGATAGCCACTGCAAAATAAAAAGGAAATATATACCTAAAGAATCTTGCAGTACTTGAGTAAGTTTACTGTTTCTATATGGGATATGAGAACTTTTTTGTGCCAGTGCAGAAATAACATCACCAAGAGCAGAAAGTGATCTATTTATGTGTTGGGCTTCCTTCAACCTTTCTCCAGTAACTTCAGACTTCTCCACCCTCTCACTCCCAGCAAGATCAACTAGATGAAGACAACCTTTTAGGATAGAGCCAGAAGCCAACTCTTTCCCTTTCACATGAATCGTTAAAACACTGCAAAAGAACATTACAAGAAAAAGTACTTCAATTATTTGGGAAGATGAATATGATCCGTTCCAGCATATATTCCATATCGTGGCAAAAAATTAGAGTTTGTAAGCTCTACATAGAACACTGTACCATTCATTCATTTGGGTTGCTAATGTAGTACAAAAGGAAACGCATCATATAAATTTATATGCACAAGTAGAAAGTTGAAGGAAGCTCAAGACCATATTTTTCTTGTAATGAAGATTTATTTTATGGGATAGTAAGCTTATAAATTTAAAGCAACTTTATAAATACCACCATAAACTCAAAAAGTAGAACCAACATACTAAATATATACCACATATCAAAGTTAAGTTTCATGAATGCAATTTCAAGGATAATCTAGAAGAACCTATGAGATCTGCTGCTTCTTTCATTCAGTGCAGTGGCTCCCACAGAACGATTTGCCAGACCAGCTTTCATCAAATCCAAAACATCTTGCGTACAAGTGACAGCAACCAACTTGGCATCTGGAATGTTGAGACCATTGAGCTGAGAATTGTTTCGTATATCTAGTGTGCAAGGAGGTTAGGGAAATAAAAAGTTGCAAAATATATAAATAACTAGAGGGAAAAAAAACTCAAGAATTGTAATATTCAATAGCTAACAAATGAAAGGCTTTAACTAGAATAAAATGTGCATCATGATCATATGGAATTCAATACAGAAATTAAACTGCATCTTTATTATTCGGATGCTTGAGCAAGATATTATAGAGTATGATCTATAGAGGATATCTTCTCATGCAGCCATCAGTAACTAAGAGATCCCTTACTTGTTCATTGTATATTTCAACCATTTGAACGCTGACATCATAGTTCACAATACTTGTTCTGGACTTGGATATATCAAACAGATAATTCAAAGAACGGTAGCTCACACCCCATGTTTCTGCAACAGATAAATTTGCACCACTCTGTATAAGAAAAAAAAAAGTACTTTAGCAACAAAAATTTTCAGTATAAATTTATGTAATAAAAAAATGATAGGGTATTTAATTCCAAGCTGTCTAATGTATTTTCTAGGATGAACCTTGGATATACATGCTAGATGTTGATCCTTAGTGGAAATACAAGTTATTTGTAAATTTTTCATATGGTAATAATATGATTAATTTTGAGTGAATTTTATACATCCTTGCAACTTAAGGACTAAAATGTAAATGTCAATTACAGTGTTAACTGATCTTTCATTACAATTTTTGCAATTTCAAGGAAAATTAGCTCCAATAATCACCTGATAGATTTTAAACTCAGTTAATTAGGATGGATAATTTAACAATGATAAGCGCAAATCTTAGTGCCAATGGATACCAGATTCTAGTAATTCCAGTTAGAATTACCATTGTATATGTCTTCCCAGATCCAGTCTGTCCATATGCAAATATGCATACATTGTAGCCATCTATGACTGATCTAATTAATGACTTGGTGTCAGCAAACACTTCAGCTGCCACATCACATATAGATGAGTATAGCATAGAAAACAATTGCTATAAAACAGACAATCTGCTTTACATCACAAACAATTTGAGTCAAGTTGAGAGAAAATATTACAGTAAAGGAAGCGTACCTTGTGTAGAATTCATTCCAAACACTCTATTGAACGAAAAAATCTTTCTTGCATCTCGCCCTTGTTTATGAGGATTCTTTATAATTATGCTTCCATTCTCACCAATATAATCGATGGTAGATCTTTCATCTGAAATATTTATTAAGGTTGGTCTGACTCGACAATAGACCCTTATACAACCTGTATGAATTTCATATATTATTTGCAAGTAATGAAAACAAAGATAAATATTAAATAAATGTGAGAATGTAAAAAAATAAGAAAGGTCATGGCAAAAAATACCTTTAAGATCTTGCACTTCATTGTATAGAAAACGATTTTCCTCAATGAGCTTATAATAGGAAGAGGTGTTCAATTCAAGTCCTTGCATATAGAGCTCTGAAGTGATTTTTAAAACAATATAATCAGTTGCAATAGGTAATCAAATGAAAGCATTTGGCCTATTGGGCACAAAAATATACTTACGAAAATTTCTCAGGTCTTCCTCCCACTTTGCATGATCTCTTTTGACTTGAGCTTTTAAGTCATTGAAGGATGATTTTAGCTTCTGAACTTTTTATCACAATGCAATAATCAGAACAGTTGGAGGAAAACATCAGATGCTTCATAAAAAATTTAAAACAATAGTAAACTACAAATTATAATTTGCATAATCTATGAGGATAACCAAATTAAGAGTATAAATTAATAGTTGTAAGTTATAACACGAACTTCATTAAAATTTTCAATTTATGACAATATTCCATAATTATTCATTTTTCATAAGCTTACTGACTTTCGAAGTTACGGTGCCTTAATTTTTAATCCAAAACAAACTTCATGTTTCATTTAATATTGTATTTTTCCATTGTGTGTTTGTGATATGATAAAGGAATAACTAGTAGTTAAAAGTTCTCTGTCTGGTATAGTCATAGTTCATTCACCAATTTACCAATTTTCACAAGTGTATTGGGCATTGAAATATTAGAAATTACAATCATTCGAACATTGTACAATAACAAATCAAGATCACTCAAAGGTGAGAGTTAGATTACACTACATAATGATCAACAATTAAAAAGCTTTTAAGCATGTCCACAGGCAAAAAAAATTTCGAAATCACCAAAAAAAAACTCTTTTATCTTTCCTCATTCACATAATGGAGTCAAAGAATTGAAAGTACTTATTTGCCATTTTTAGATAAACGTTTTTCTAAGGCTTACAACCACACTTCACCATTTTGCCCCAATTTGCACCAACTCAAAGCAAAGCTTGAAAGTTATCAACGAATATCAATGTTTTACTATAGACACTCAAGCTGATATCCATTTGATTAACTGAGAAGAAAGCACATGGTCGACATATCTTGTGCTTAATATAGGAAAAATTATTGTGTTTGACTTGTTTTTATTTAAATTAATTATGGGCTCTAAAAATTCGTGCCCCCAGCCTCTCCGTGACTCCGTGACCCTTTTTTTTTTTGTATTGGCAAGGAGAGTTTTAACGAGTTTAAGTTTTGGGATAAAATTTCATAAGGCATATTAGGTTTTTAGATAAGACACTACCCAGAGATTTTACCCTCATTTTGCAAGGACTTTATGATCTAAGTTCTAGTTTCCTATAGGCGCAAGCCCCTATGGTTAACTACCCCTCCTGATAACGGGAGAGAACTTTCAATTAAGGTTAGTCGTTGAACATAAACGTCGTATCTAATTTATACTAGATGAATCCAATCAAGATCCCACGATTCTATCATTACAGCCCATCATGGTCCCTAGTCTATTTAGTTAGATGAGATAATCGACCCAACCTAATTGAAAGATCTTTATCAGCAGTTATGAGTTGCTTCATCCAATGGTACTTTGTAAACTTGGGGTGAATATTTGTCTAAGAGGACAGATTTGAGTCCACCTTAGATAACAAATAGCTTTATGCCCAATCAATTATACTCTATTAATTCATTACTTAATGATTTAAAGCCATTGGGAAACATACAGGATCTGGCCGTTACCAAAATTTAGTGGTACCACTTGGCAGCAAAATAATCCAGTTAGAGGGCCCCGATCATAATCGTTTACCTGTGGTGTCATTTGGCGGTAAAACTACCGGTTAGATGGCACATGTTACGTCCTTATTGACAAGAGATGATTTAAGAATGAATCTTAGTGATATTATTGACTGGACATTTGCTCTTTGTGAGCTAAAGTGATTTTAAATGTATCCACATCAACAAACTGTTGCGAATGGTGGATGGATACTCATTTAAGTGTTTATGTAATTTATTTTGATTATATATTTTGAATTTTTAAAGAGTAATAGATTTGAAATTTTTATTTAAACTTGAGCCCCAAATAACTAACTTTGAGATTTGGGAGCATTTATTTGAACCCCTCCAGTTGAGTTTTGCATTCAACATAACAATCATCGGGGAGATTTTGAAATCATGTAAATATTTGTATTTTCATAAGTTTCTTAGGCATATAAAAAGCATAATCCACTCCGGTTGAGATTAGCTTTTAACATTGTCATTATCGGGGTTGTTTCTGGGTATTGACATTTCATTAGCCGAACATTGTCAACTCGATTTGATTGCAAACTGAGGATCGGGTTCAACTATAATTTTTTGGAGTTGTCGTGTAGATATCAAAACCTAATATGAACGTATAAAATTAAATACTTTGGTTAACTTCAACAAGTGTCAGTTCTGAGAGTTTATGCTTTTAGCAATGAACATTTCTTGTATTAGACCTTAGAGACCTAATATGAACATGTAAAATCAAATACTCTAGTTGGTTCTATGATCATATATTTATCGTGGTTGCTTTATGGGTATTGTCATTTCATTAGTCAAACCTTATCAACTCGATTTGATTGCAAACCGAGGATCGGGTTCAACTCCAAATTTTTGGAGTTATCATGTAGATATCAAAACCTAATATGAACATATAAAATTAAATACTTCGGTAACTTTAACAAATGTCAGTTCTGAGAGTTTTTGCTTTTAGCAGTGAACATTTCTTGTAATAGACCTTAAAGGCCTAATATGAACATATAAAATCAAATACTCCATTCGGTGCTATGACTGTGTATTTGTTCGGTGGTTCAAGTAGTGTCAATTCCAATCTATTTAAAGAGAAGAATCGGACTTGAACTTAAGTTCACTTTTGACCAACACAGCATCCCCAGGCATCACATGTGTGTGTGTGTGTGTGTGTATATATATATATATAATGCTTATTGGGACCCGTGCACATATCTTAAATTTCATTTTAATTGATATACATGTGTATGTCAGCATACTTATACAATGTATTTTGTATGTTTGAAAATTGATTCATTATTTCTTAGATATAATGTAAATGTCATGCTCGTGAAAGCTCATGCAGTATATTCATATTTCATTTCTAAGTATGATATGCGCATTTCAATAGTCTTAGAATTTATTAATGACTTGTATAGCCCACACAACATTCTCAGATGTCACGCTTATATTCATAGCGCTCGTGGAGCTCATGCGGGTAACTTAGATTTCATTTTAAATGATATTTTGCATGCTAGCATATTTGTATGATATGATTATACATTTCACATAGCAGTAGATTTTCATCTAATTTATTATTTTTATTAGTCCGCACAACATCCTCAAACATCACATGTATATGTCACACTCATTAGGACCACTACGGGAAACACACTTTTGAGTGCATGTTGCATAATGCATTGACATGTTCACGATTTATATAATTATAATACATTCACACTTTGCTTAGAATGAGCGCATAGTGATTTTGCATGTTGTGTGATGTGTATGCCTACTACATCTACAAGATGTGTAATGTGTTCACATAATATGTTTCCATGTAACATAATACATGCGTCTGGCGTATCTGAGTGTAAGACAATATATATGCCTAATACATTTGGATGTTGCATACATACTTGTGTAATGCATTTACATGTTACATGACTAATATGTATTATGCATTTACATATCGGATATTGCATATGCATGTTGCATTGTTGGACAATACTATTACATGACGTAATGTGTGTTGCATAATGCATGTACATGAACCATTGACATGTTGAATAGCATATATATGATATATTAGCATGTTGGATAGCACGTATGCATGACACTTTTGTATGTTGCATTATGTGCTTGCACAGTATTTGATGCATTTACGTAACATATATATATATATATATATATATATATATATATTTCAATATGTATATATGATGCACTTGTGTACCATTTAGTATGTGCATATGGTATGTCTACATGCGGTTTAATATGTATGCATAATATAATAGGGAAACACCCTATTTTGATGATTTAGCGCATCATGCACACTTCAATGAGATGTCATACAACCCGTGACATGTAACAGTGTGTTGTTTTATTTCTTTTCAAAGGCAAATGTTCAAGGGGTGTACGAAGTTCATGGGATGTACGAGTCTCCTGATTTTAACAGTCGGCGTGCATGCTACCATAACACTTATGTACCTGTGACTCCTCTTATGAGTGTGTTTTTAGAGTTTAGCTCAATGAGTCCCACAAGGGATCAATTTCCCGGGTTATAAATAGGGAACCCGGCCTTTGTTCATTTCAGTTTAGAGTGTGCGTTGCTAAGGGATTTGAGTATGTGCGTAAGCTTGGAGCTAAGGAGAAAAATCTAGTTTATGCTTGTGTTGGTTGACAAGCAACAAAAGATTCTTGTACAAGTTCATTGTAAAACCCATTTAGTTACAGTTTTGTTTTCATTCATTTTTTAGTTTTCAACATTTGCAAATTATGTTTTCATACATGTTTCATTTCTTGTTGACTTAGGAGCTAGATTAGATTTTAATTTCTTTAATTTTTTTCTAACTCAACTATTTTATTGTAAATTCAGGCAGCACCCCAACTTCATCCCTGCGTAGGGGGTTACATTGGGTATATTAAGCCTATCCGCCTGCTAATAAAAGCAGTCATGGCAGGTGCATGTGACACCACGGCCGAAATTTCATTCCCCGCTAGCTAATAAAAGCGATCACGGATCTTCAAGTACCTGTTTATAAAACATAGTATTTCCCACCTGCTAAGAAAAACGATCACTGGTGCTAGTTTTTTTATATATAACAAATTTCCCCACTCGATAATAAAAGCGATCATATGTACTTATCTCATGCAAATAATTTTTTCCCTAGCTAATAAAAGCGACTCGAATACTTCTCTCATGCAATTAAATTTTCCTGCTCGCTAATAAAAGCGATCACATGTACTTATATCCATGCATACAAATTTTCATGCTAACTAATAAAAGCGATCACTAGTATTTATATTTCATCGCTCGCTAATAAAAAAAGTCATCGGTACTTTATATTTTATACATAAACAAATTATAAAATAGCTAGTATAGAGACTATATCTCAAGTGCGCGGCGGCGATGGCGAGATGACGAAACGACACGACACATGAAACCTTGGTGACCGATTGTTGAAGGCGCATGAGGGAGAGGAAGTTGAGAGAGGAGAGGAAATTCGGGTCGTGCAGTCTGGAGCGTGAATGTCGTGAGTGGCATAAGGGAGAGAGTGGGATGGGTTATGAGAATATGGGGGTAATTTGAGGATTATTTAGATTTTTTTCTTTTTTCATCTCTTTTTTTTATTATTATTAGTAATTAGGTTTTAAAAAATATAAAATTTATAATAATTTTTGTTAATAATCATGCATCGATTTGATTGTCATGTTGTCATCATCGCTCACGTCAATGTCGGCCTGATATGCACGTGCGAAATTTAAATTTTCACCAACTGATGGTCCCAATCAATATGGATGTCAATCTTAATTGTTTCCATTTCTCTGGGTGCGATGGCACTGTCCGTTGTGCAAACATAAGCCAATTCGGCGATTTTGATTTTTGGTCGACGCATGTCGGGTAAGTTTCGTGCACCGTCGTGCTCTTTCATTTTCAAAACCTACCGTGTGTGGTCGACTCAACCCTAACGCTAGCATTGAGGTCAACATTAATAATTCGTGATATAGGATTTGACTCAAGAAATTAGAATCATAAATCAATTTAAACATAAAAAGATCAACAAATGTTAAAGATTAAGCTCATAGGTTCCCAACTAGAAATTAACTTTACTTTATGATGAAATGGGAATAAAGTGTTAGTACTTTTCTAAAGGAAACTCAATGGATGATCCCATCAATCCATAATTACGAAAAATGCAAAAGTTGATGGTGGTTAAGAAAATAATGGTAACATGAGCATGGTTTATTGATACATATGGGAAGCTTTCCCTTCTTTTTCACCTTTTTCCTGACTCCTGCCTCTGCCCATACAAAATATATTGCAAGGTCTGCATCAGAATAAGCAAGCTCTTACTATCAAATTTGTCTAAGCTTCCTTGATAATATGATGAATTTTTTACAACCTAAATGAAGCAGCTTCTTATCAAACTTACCCTTCTAAAAAAAGACACAGTAAGTATTATCTTTCACTTTGTACATCCAGCATATAATTTAAAATTAAAGAAAAAAATGCAATGAACTTATCATTTAGGGGACAAAAATAATGTTACCTCCAGCTGTTTATGTTGAAAATCAACAACATCCAAATTGCTTGCATCTGAACTTGTAGCATGATAAGAAGGGGAGTTGTTCCCATATTCTTCAAGATGTTTTGAAATAACTTCAAAAAATGTTGCTTTGGAAATTGCTTTGTTGTTCTCCCCCATTGTTTTCTTCATTACAACACTAAGCTGTTGATAAGTTCAGAAATCTTAGTTTGTCATAGCCTTCAGTGCGTAATGAGTCTCAAGACTCTCAAGAAATAGAAAAAGTATTAATTCATGGAAAAGCAAGTTCAAAAGCTCAATTAAGAAATTGGTGAAGGAAAACTCCTGGTACAAGCATCCATTAAAATCCAGTTTGTTTTCATGCAAGGGGTTGAATCCGATTTCTGTAACAGGGTTCAAGCTTTTGTCTCATAAAGGTAAGATTATGAGGGCTTGGACTTCAACTTCTATTTGTTAAAATATATTATCTATATTACTATTAAAAAGGAACATGTTACTTCACTAGTAGAGAATTCCCAACCTTCATTTAAAGGAAAATATCATCCATTCACTTTAAATTATGATTTTAAAATATATGTATTTCTTTTATTTTCTGTACTCCATAAATATTATAGATTTGTGTGAAAAAGATTTAATCGTATGCCACCTGAGCAAGCATCATCTCACCTAATTATGCCCTCTTAGTTTATATGACTTATCTCCACCATGCAAGCTCAATATATTTTGCTTTGTTATAACCACAGGTTTGCTTATCTTAATTTCCTTCTATTCCACTTCAAAATTGCATAACCGAATAAGTCAGGTTATGATCCAATTCCAGCTTGATTATATACAGAAAAGCTCGACAAATGTACAAAATAGGGCATTTTCATACCTTCCATTTTTCATATTTTTAATAGCAGATTTTAGTTTTAAAAACTTTATTTAAAAATTTTTTAAAATACTTCTGCATATTTGCATAAAGACTTTCAAAAGAGAAATTAAATTATTTGATCTATCATTTGTTCTTTTTGGCTTAAGGTTATTGGAATATTTTCAAAGGATGGGAGATTATGTTAGACCACTTTTCATATTTTATGGGTAATTAATTTCTTATTTCATAATGGTAATCATTCTCTCCTTTGGCCATGATCAGGAGATCATAATACTTGCCAAGAGGATGTGGAAAAGGATGGCGAAGATGTTTGATAAAAGATTGCAGGTTGCCAAGAAGAATCTGTGGGAGGCCAAGATAAGTCAAAGTTCTAGGGAAAACTTATCGGCTGAGACCCACAAAGTCCTCTAGACATGCCATTGTTGTCAAGCAGTTCATGTGCCAGCCTAGTGCTAATTATCCGAGTTAGTGTTTCCTTATAGTAACCAACTGGACACTGAATCCCAGACTAATTGTAACGACATTTTTGCCTTTGATAGCCAATGTTTTCCTTATATGTAAAAGGAGACATCATATACAGAAAAAAATATATTCTTCCTCCCTTTGTAATTGCTTTGTTTTACGAAGGAGTGATTTTTATGTGAAGACCTTCCTAACAAGAAAGTATAAATTCTCTATCATTGAGCTAAAATTGGAATCCTTTTTCGGATCCCTAGATAGGAGAAGGTAGAAGACGAAGAAGTCAAACTCCTAATTAACTAATGTGGATTGCCTCGGTTTAGAGTTCATCCTCATCTCACCTCATCTTGAAATATTAGGATTCGTAAATCCAATCCACTCTCTACCTCATTACTCCATCCCAATTTTGGACAGCAATACAAGCTTTAATTGTGTTTTCTTGCCTTCAAAATTTTCAAATTATTTGGTTAGCATGTTTCAATTTTTGAAGGCTAAATAATCCCATTAAACATTAATCTCATTTCCCACATTGTTAGTTTTTTTTTTTTTTTTGTCCTCACCATATTTCAATTTTTAATTTATAAAATCTATCAGTGCAACAAACTATGATCTTAAAAATTTAAAAATACTTCTACATTTTTTTAAAAAAAAAAAAAAAAAAAAATAAAAAATTAAAAATTAAAAAAATAAAAAAAAATACTTCTACATAAAATCATTCTAAAAAGAAAATCGAATTATTTGATCCATTAATTGTTCTTTTTTCGTTAGGGTTCTTGGAATATTTTCAAACGATGGAAGTCTATGTTAGTTCATTTGTTACATTTTATGGGTATCTAAATAATTTCTTGTTTTATAATGCTAAATTATTGCTCATTCAAACATGATCAGGAGATTAAAATACATGCAAAGTGAATGCAGAGAAGGATGGACAAAGAAATTTCGAGAGTATTTGTTGTAAAGTGAATGGATAGAAAAATCTAAGTCTGAAAGGTTTCAAAGGTCTTGGAAAAATTTATCTTGTTAGAAAAGTAAAGTCATCTTATCATGCAAAATGATTTGTTGCCGAGCAACCCAGGTACCGGCCTAGCTTCAACTTCTGAGTCAAAATCATTTTACCATAATTAATCTAGATTGAATCTCTAATTTCTTATAATAACTTTTCTACCATTTGTTATATACTATTTAATCTTCTATATAAAAGGGGACATCTTGGGAAGATAAAAAAAGAAGAGAGCTAGAGAAAGAACTTCTAGGAAAGTTTAGAGAAAGCGGGGGCTTGGGAAAGATATAGAAACTTCTGTTTACACCCTTTGTAATTGCCTGATTCTACTTTCTTTAATGAAATAGCAGTTTTTCTTCATTCAAATAAGACTCCATATTAACTCTTATTTTTCCATAACCCGTAATCTCCTAGGCAACATGTTGGTTGAATATCTTTCTGATAGGAAGTAGATGCATTTTTCATAAAAATTAATGGATGAAACACGAAATATTGGGAAGAAGAACGCCCAAAAATATTTTTTATTGAAAGAACTATAAAAAGAAATGCAAGATACAATTGGATCTTCAATTGGAGAGGAAGATCTGACTCCCAAATCCCTAGCCATCAGCTAGAGTCCAAATAACCTAAGAATAAAATAAATTCAGCAAACTTCAAAACATAACCCCGAAATCACCATATTGTTAGCCATAAATATTCTCTTATAATTCTATTATAGCCTAGAGAATAAAAAGAAAAGGCAGGAAGGGAAAATTTAAAAGATAGAGTGCTGTAGGCATCCTTGTGATATGAACTATCAAATAGTCAATGCTTAAAGAAGTCCGTACTCATAGGAGATTACACGATAAAACAAAGGTATGCAGTATTTCACTCTGGTTACTAATTTGAAACATTATATTTTCCAAACAAAATGAGAAATATTTATGCATTGGCAGCTGCATGATCATTCGTACTAGACAGGTTCAGCTAAACTGAGGAAATTCAAATTATAATAAAATATATTTCAAAGATACCTGATTTTTTCGAGTTACAAGTAGTGCTGAGAACTCTTTAACGGCTTGCTCAAGTACCATATCGATGAGCTACAAAATGTTTTGTGCATAAACAAAGTTAGACCGTTAACCTATTAACAAAAATATAAATTATAAGTTCGGAAGATTTGCAGGAGTTATAAATGAAAATAGTAAAAGCAAGACATAAAACGTGCTGCCAGTCTGCTACAGGAAAATACATAAGAAATTTACCAAAGAGAGAATGTTGATCTGAATTCACAAATTGTAAGGATAAGTTTCATTCTATCACTTAAATTAATCTTCAGGGACATTTACATAGCATAAGCAAAAAAATTGTGTCAAGAACTCCTAATATAAATTTGCATCGAGAGTGCAAGACAAGCAATCAAAAGAGAAGAACATTTGATCAAAAATAAAAAATAACACTATTTTATTGTAGAACAATATATGCGTTTGAATGTCATTTCATAGTACAAATTAAATGCCTTGTACTTATTATACAAATGTCGAGCATTTCAAATCAAATTTCCTCCTCTTTTAATCTTGTCTTGCACTCCCAAATAAAATTTGAATTAGTAGCTCCTTGCGTTTTTTTGTTTTCCAATGTTTTAGTTAGTACTCTGTGAAGACATAAGAAAGCATACGACGGCAGGCAAATTTTGGTTAATTATTGCTTCAAGAAAAGAAGTTTGCAGGGTACTTCAAAAAAATAAAGTCACAGAATCTTACCCACCGTGTCATTCAAGGAAAATTCCCCAGCATCAGCACATTCTATGAGAAGTGTCTCTAGAAGCCTCACACCAAAATGATCAAAAGAACTGAGGAAGTTGGTTACTTTAAAATCTTTAAGGAACACCTCAGAAAGAAGATGCAGAACATCCAATAGTTGATGGTCATGTATCATATCAGATTTATCAGAGGACTCATCAGCAGTTGCACCATTAAATAAACTGGAAGGAAAGCCTCTATGTGAAGATGAGATCTTCACAATACCACCATACCTCCAAATGCCAATTTCACCAGCAAGTTTCCATTCATGGTACGCTTTGAGACAAAGAATACAATCTACTACCTTAAAAGACGATCCTCCCTGAGAAAAAGAACCAACACTGCATATAAATTATTCCTTAACAAGATAAATTAACTAATCATCAAATCATAGTTTTCTTTATCCTGAAAAGGCTTTAGAAGCATTTCATGAGCTAAAGAATTGGTGTACTCAAATGAACCATTTCATTGGATTTGCCTTATAAATTCTTTTTTTAATCAACATTAATGGATTCAGTTACTCTCCACATATCATAAGCACACATAACATTGCTTTTTAGGGCTTGTTTGTCATGTAGATAGAAAACATTTTTTAAAAAATGATTCTATTTTCAATCATTCTAAAAATTGGTGTACTCAAGTGAATCATTGAATTTGCCTTATAAATTCTTTTGTTAATCAATATTGATGTATTCAGTTAGTCTCTATATATTATAAGCTCACATTGCTTAAGGGAGTATTTGGCTTGTAGCTAAAAAACATGTTTTTTTAAAAAACGATTCCATTTTCAATCATTTTGAGTGAAAATTAAATCATTACGACTGAGATAATTTTGAGAAGGTATGTGAAATTTGATGTCAATATTAATTTTTAATTTCATCCAACGAATAAATCGATTTAACAAATTTCACAAAATTTTGAAATTTTTTTCTTAAACATCAACCAAATGGTTCCTTAGATTAAATGAAGAAGTATCATTTAAAGTATATACATACCCTAACTAGTATGAACCTTCTTACAGGGACACCGGATTTCATATAATGCGATTTCTTAAAAGGAAATTTATCACCATAACAGAAGCCTAAAAACGTTCTTTCACTTTCGATTGATAGCAAATTGTCATGCTTATCGTTCTCGAATACGCAATAATTTCTGTTATAGCATTTTAAAATGCATGACACAAGCAAAGAAGGCCAATAAGCATTTCTCTCTAGAAAAACACAGGGTTTTCTAACTTTCATAACTAAAATTTTTGTTTAAAGCTAGTCTTGAATAGAAGATAACTACCTTTTCTATATCGGATGCTTCAAATGTAAGAAGTTTCATTTCATTGACAGCAACAAGGAAGTTCCTCATGTTTTCAAAATACTGAATCGCTGATTGAGCTGTTCCATCAGCCAACTGAACGGCGACAACAGGGTTCTCTACAACCTACTCGGTGATATCCCATTGCGAGATCCATCGACGTTATCATAAACAATTTGAATCATAATTTGCAGTCAAACAAAATAAATACACCAAATAAGAGAAGTTGGCCAAATTTTCGATGAACAAAAAAATAAATAAATAAAAAAATTCAAACCTTTAAAATAGGTAATGAGTAAATTCAAAGTAGTGGCCACAGAGCAAAAAAAAGGTTAGCTCGATTATCACACTGAACGCGCTTAAATACCTTGGGAATAGCTCCAGGATTAACCTTATTCAAAACATTACACAGGATCAACCCATTACGCAACGCAAGGCAAAACTCTTCCTCGGACGGCTCTCCCAACGGGATATCCACTGCTCCACGATCCATTTTCCTTAACCACTCCACCGCCTCGAACCTCCTCGAAGCTTAACAGATTCAAATATAATAATAATTAAAAAAAACAGAACGTCCAGCTGATATTCAAAGAATATCATCATCTAAAAATACGATCGCCAGCTTCCAATGAATCCGTACCTGCTTCTTCAGCCTTCCTCATGGCCATTTCTTCGCCAATCGCTTCTTCGGCTGTGAGCTTTGTGGCCTTAGGCCCTCCAACACCCCCATTTCTCAAGGCAATGCGTAAGGTTGACGCCATTGTGAGGTAGAGTAACAGGTCCGATTACTTCTCAGTTCCTATTCCATCCTAAACCGCCGCCGACCGTCAAGCTCTTGCTCACTGTTTGACTCTCGGAATCTACAGAAGATAGCAAGCGAGCGAGCGAGAGAGAGAAAGTTAGAAAATCAGCGGAGTTCTCGTGGCGAGTGCGGGAGAGGATTTGAAAAGAGATCGGTGGGATTATTAATGCAGAGCAGGAGCCAAGGAGTAGTTGAATTCTTAAATTTAATCCAAGGTAAGAAGAATCGTAAAGTGAATCAGGTGCAATGATCTTTGTTCCAAACAGGAAACCCACCAACGCTTTCTTGCCACGTTTGCTTCTCATTTCTCCATTTTAAAAGAAATCAGAGAATAATTTACTTACTAAATAATTATGTATAATATTTTATCCATTAAAAATTAACAAGTAAATTAATGTGCAAAAAATCAATAATCTAATTTTTGCATATAAAGATTTTTCAAAAAAAATTTAAATGTTTTTTAACATAATGAGTAAAATTTGATTTTAAGCTGATCCAATTTTAGCATAAAATTAATTTAAAATCATTCAATTTGATTTAGAATTAATTTAAATATGATTACAAGTTTGCTCTATTTAATTTTAAAGCAATATTAATAATTAAATCTTATTTTGTAGAGTAAACTAACAAATTCATATAAACTTTATTAATCTAATAAAGTTTAAAAATAAATGGATTATAAAATTATATTAAAATATTTTTAGTTTAATCATATTAAAAGTTGAAATAATTGGGAATTAATCATTTAGCAAAATAATATTTGCTTATATTTATTTTTAATTTTTTTATAATTAGGATAATTTGTTAAATTGAATTTTAGTATAAACTAAGTAAAATCTTTGTTCACAGTAATGTTCTCTCAATGCAAATAATAATATGCATGTAGATTTAAATTTCTTAAATATGTAATACATTATGATTTGGTGTTTATTCTTTATGAGTAAACTAGTTTTATATATTAGTGAATGAGATATTATAAAATCTTTATGATATTATTAACTAATAACTATGTTAAGAAGGGAAACTTGATTTTGTGTATTATAATAGTAAAAATTTGAAAAATATGCTTGTTGTTTATTTTATTGAAAAAATCTACTTGAAAATTCCTTTTGGATGAAGTTACCCTACTTTGATTCACAAATTGTTTGTTGAAGCTCATCCTGAGATAAATTGACTTGAACTTATTTGAATTTAAACTTTAAATCAAACATTAAACCGAATTCAAACCTGGTTCAAAGCAAATTTCTCGATGGGAGCTTGTTGGGGCCTCAACGATGGGGACTAGGAGCATGTGAAAAGAAAATGATTTCATGATGTGAGCTCATGTAGTGCTTGTTGATCCGAACGACAACATGTGAGGAGAAGATATTTCGGATATGTGCATGGATCTCGAATATCACCGTCACCATAATTTTTAATGGTGATCGTCCATCATGTTAAGGAGAGATTATTAAATACAGAGTCCGGACCGGAGAACCTTTCCAGATTTTATGAGGATATACAGTAAACCAATAGCAAATATACAATTTTATTTTTTGTTGTGTATTTGTTAGAAAATATTAGAAATTATATTTCTTTATTAGATTTAAATGAGAATTTGAATTTTAACTGAACACAATTGCAAAAAAGGATTCATGTAGCCGACCCCACATAGTGAGGCAAAGGCTTGAAGTTGTTGTTGTTGTGTATCTGTTATTTATTTGTTGTGTACCCAGACAGAATCCGAACGGCTCTTTCGTCGGGAGTTCGAACGAAATAATTTATCTATGTTAAGGCCTGGTATGTCGTTAATGGCAAAAAAAGTTTTCAAAATTAGCCAATTCCTGGAAGCTATGCGGTGTGATCAAATGTTGGTCGACTGTCGAGGCCATGGGATCCGAGGTGGACATTGGCTGGTGATGTAGCCGTCCAGTGAAGATCAAAAGGGTAATGATGAAGAGTGAAATGGATTTCTTATGGTACAGCTTAAATGGCTAGAAGCCTAAGCACCGTTCACATTTTTTGAAATTATTGCCTTGGGCTAATTTCCAATTCGATCGTTGCAAACAGAGATTGACAGAATTAAAAGAGCACGCCGAGCTTCCTTTTTGTTTCATTAGAACTCGAGTATGTGTTTGAGGATGTCAGCCATTAAGGGAGACAAAATAAAGGAGAATTTTCTTCTATTTTTCTTTCATCAAGCTGGAATGATTTCCTGATAGAAATTTGGGCTAGAAATTCGCAAACTTGCTGCTATGCACTTTTAAATTCCAAGAGATATATGATTGAAAATCTTGAATTGGAAATGTTACACCTCCATTAAGGATTGCTTCGGATAACTATATTGGCACTTTTGGTTTTCTGCTCCTTTGTTTTGTGGCTTCCTACTGCAGGAGTTTATTTGGCTATTTCTAGTTAAATTGGACAATGATGAATAGTTATTCCCTTGCTTTTAGTCATCCCTGGAAGCTCGTTGGAGTGTCCTGGCAACCGGGGTGACCCTGTTTTGTTTGGCAGCTCCTTTGCTGAATTCGGGAATTTTTGTCCTTTTTTGGGTAGTTTTATTATGTTTGTCTATTGGTATTTTGAACTTAATTTGGTTCCATAGTTTTGTTTGAAGCTCTACTTTTTCACTTTTGTTTTACATGAATTGTAATTGAGCTTATCTTTTGTATTTTCGCTATAGTAATGAACGGGCTTCAACCTTAATTCTCCACAAAAAAATGCGGGTATGACAAAGGGTTAATAATTCATGCCTTTAATTAGAATCCTGATTCAATTAATCCCCTCAAATCTCATCTCATATTCATTTTGTTATATTTTTTCTTTTTAATATGAGTTTTTGATTTCAATCAATAAAAATTTTCAGATACATTAGAACTCAGCGTAAGGAGACATTACTTATAACATTGTGGAATTCAAAATTTGGGAAAAGAAGGTCAAGCCCTACTCATAGAACTAGATAATTAGAATTGGCCATGTCTCATAATCTTCGAATTAGATTGTTATGAAGAAGTCGATTTGACTCTTCACAAAGATGGACAAATTGAATAGAGCAAAATATATGAAGTTTGAGCTAAATAAGTACAAGTTTGGTTGGGAATGCCTAATATCTCAATGATTATATGATCCATTCGTTTGATTGAGTTCGGTTCTAACCTAGGTTTATGACTAATTAAGCTTAGGTTTGTCATAAATTTGACGATCAGGGTTTAGGTTGACTCAGGGGCGGATCCAGCTTCTTTTTTCAGGGTGGGCAAAAAAAAAATTTTTGGCGGGGGATGGGCAAAGATGATTAGGATTGATAAAATTAGGACAAAAATTTTTTTTGAGAGGGGGCAAAATACCCAAAATATACAAAATATTTCAAAATCCTCTCTAAAACTTAAAAAAATTAAATTTTGTAGGTGGGCATTTGCCCCCCCCCCCCCCCCCCCTCACTACCATGGGGATCCGCCCATGGGTTGACTAGGGGTTAGCCAATTGGGTACAATGGCTTGGCTTTGGCTAGCTTAATTAACTTAAGATGTGTGTAGAGTTCAATCAATCTATTAATTAAATCTATGTTTGAGTATAAAATCACTTAATGCTTCAAGGTTCATTAGATTGACACGCAGCTAAAGATCAAGGCGAGGGTCCAATTTATAGATTTCGAAAGTTATTGGATTCACATTATAAGGTTTAGTAACACTTAATAATTATAAACTTAGGCTATGACTTTGAAGGCTAGCTAGGGTGTAGGGTGCACTTATTAACCCTATGAGAGTGAATTTGAATTAAATATTTTAATGATCGCAAATATAATATAGTATGAAATAATATCATTAAGTAATATTTGTGCGAGTATAAGAGTACACATTTCAGATGAAGCATGAAAGAAGAAATCATGAATAATATACACCCTGATGCACATATATGACTTAAAGAAGTTGATATTCCAAATAACTCAGGCTAGCATATGAGAATTAAAATCCTATGCCTTAAGATACAAAATATGGTATTTATTTATTTATAAGTCTAGTATTATTATATTTTAGGGGTTGAGATTGGCAACATAACCAAAAAAAAAAACGCAAATAAAAAGCTTTAAAAAATTATAATCTTAATTGATCATACTATATGATCATGAATTATGATGTACAATCATGAATTATTCTGTGCAATCAATTGGAACTAAAATTATCTAGATCTAATCATACTAAATGATTTGAATCGTAATGAATAATCACGTCTTATTTCAAAAATACAATTGTGCCCTTTTTGTTAAGATTAAAGGATATATTAATTAGAAATTTATCTTAATGTCATATTATATAATATACATCAATGGTACTTTGATAAAAAAAAATTAAATTGTCAATTTATATTAATTAACATAATTCAAAATTTAAATTAATTATAATGCACGATGAATATCATACTCTACAATCAGCATGATAATCTAATCAAATTCATAGTTTAAATAGTACTAATTGTGATCTTTTAAAATTTGTACTAATTATATTTTTGTAATTTAGGTTTCATTTGAGACGACTTTATTATTGCTTCTTAAAGTAGCTTTTGAGTACATAAATTTTAATTTTTGTACTAATTTTTTTTTAAAGAAACAATAAGAAAGCCATCCAAAAAGAAGCCTTAATATTAGAGAAAATATGTTGATTTTTCAAAATCATTATTAAAATAATATCGATTCAAACTATTTTTTAGGCCTACCTTAATGCAACTTTTTGGTCTCAAAGTGTACTAGGGCCATCTATTATAAGGTGCAATCAATCAACTTTGAAAGACATTCACTGAGGATTTAGAGCTGAAGACTAGAATATTATGTTTGATATATAACATGTCACAAATGGAGGTCAACATGTCACTATCGGGTTCAGGAAGAAAAGAGCTAATAGGTACCATATTTATCCAAGTTCCAAAAACTTGATTCAACAAATCATAAAGATAATGTTCTAGATGAAAGGACTCCGAACCTAATATTAATTTGAGCTATAGTAGAAAGCATGTAAAACCATAAATATTTAAAAGATTTTAATTGAATGCTAATTGGTATTTTTTTAACATAAAGATGTTAAATAATGTTAGTTCTACGTGAAATTTGATTGTGTTGATCAATCGGGTTGTACTTTTTCCTTCGACCTTCATTCAACTTGTTAAGCTCAATATGGC